GTTCATTTTAACGCCGGAATGCTGAAAATGCCGCGCTGAACCGGATGAACGAAACGGAAGCAGCACGACATCAGCGTGAAATTGCGCGTATTAATGCCATGCAGTACGCCGATCAGGCGGTCAGGGACGCAGCGATACAGCGTGAAAATGAACGTTACGAAAAAGCCATTAAGAAAAAAACGCCTGCCACCCGTAATGATGAGGCCACCCGGTTATTACTGCAGTACAGCCAGCAACAGGCGCAGGTGGAGGGACAGATTGCCGCCGCCAGACAGTCAGCGGGCATGGCTACTGAAAGGATGACAGAAGCGCATAAACAGCTTCTGGCCCTTCAGCAGCGTATCAGCGATTTAGCCGGTAAAAAACTGACAGCAGATGAAAAAAGTGTACTGGCTCACAAGGATGAGCTGATTCAGGCACTGACGCTGCTGGATGCAAAACAGCAGGAGCTGCAGAAGCAGACTGCCCTCAATGACCTGAAGAAAAAGACCATTCAGCTGACCAGTCAACTGGCTGAGGAAGAGCGTGCACAGCGTCAGCAACACGATCTGGACGTTGCCATGGCAGGAATGGGCGATCAGCAACGGCAGCGGTACCAGTCGCAGTTGCGTCTACGACAGCAGTACCAGCAACAGCTGGAGCAACTTGAACGGGACAGTAAGCAGAAAGGCTCGTATGGTTCTGACGCATACCGGAAGGCTGAACAGACGCTGACAGACAGTCTGAACCGGAAACTGAATGAGAATCGCCGCTACTGGCAACAGATGGATGCTGCGCAGGGGGAGTGGAGAAACGGTACAAAACGCGCGTTCATGAATTTTACTGCCGACGCGGATAATGCTGCCGGGACTGCAGAACAGATGTTTATGTCTGCTTTCAGTAGTATGGGAAATGGTCTGGCAACTTTTGTTACCACCGGCAAACTCAATTTCAAATCTTTCACCTCATCTGTGCTGTCAGATATGGCAAAAATTCTGGCGCAGGCAACCATGATGAAGGCTGTCAAAGGGATTGGCAGTGTGATGGGGTTTGATTTCGGTGATGTGAAAACCAATGCAGAAGGTGGTGTTTATCAGTCTGCTGATTTGAGTCGCTACAGTGGCACGGTGGTTAACCGTCCGACGTTTTTTGCTTTTGCAAAAGGCGCGGGGGTGATGGGTGAAGCGGGGCCTGAGGCTATCCTGCCCTTGCGCAGGGGGGCTGACGGTAAGCTGGGTGTTGTGGCAGCGACCTGTGGTTCGGGGATGGTGATGTTTGCGCCGCAGTACAACATCGAGATCAATAATGATGGCCAGAACGGACAGATTGGGCCGGAAGTCATGCAGGCGGTTTACAACCTGGGGAAAAGGGCTGCAGAAGATTTTATGCAACAACAGTCCCGTGATGGCGGGCAGTTAAGCGGAGTATACCGGTGATGGAGATATTTAGCTGGAAAGTCCGTCCGGATATGAAGGTGGATTCAGAGCCCAAAGTGGTGACAGTTAAACTGGGTGATGGTTATGAACAGCGTCGTCCGGCGGGACTGAATCCTCTGTTGCCAACGTACAGTGTCACGATCCGTGTCCGTAAAGGGGAGCATCAGGCGCTGGAAGCGTTTCTGGCCCGGCACGGTGGGGTCAGGGCGTTTCAGTGGACACCGCCTTATGGCTGGACACCTGTCCGGGTGGTCTGCCGTAAATGGTCGTCCAGTGTGGGGGCGCTGTGGGTCACGGTAACCGCAAATTTTGAACAGGTCGTGGTATGAGGAGGACGGATGCAGGATATCCGGCAGGAAACACTGAATGAATGTACCCGTACGGAGCAGTCTGCCAGCCTGGTACTCTGGGAAATTGATCTGACAGAGATTGGCGGGGAGCGTTATTTTTTCAGTAATGAGCCTAACGAGAAGGGGGAGGCCGTCACCTGGCAGGGCCGGAAATATGAGGTGTATCCTGTTCAGGGAGCAGGGTTTGAAATGAAAGGCAAGGGAAGCAGCGCC